CCATACCAGTGTACATTTTACTGATACTGAAACTGATACCTACGTATAATCAACAGATCCACCCAAGCTTTAAATATAGATCCCATGTCTACGAAAAGCTTAAATAAGTCATTTATTATTATCAGGATTATTATTGATCATAACTAGTTATTTCTAAATGATGCAACTTTTTCATACTATATATATTTATATTTTATATTTTTATATCCTGACAAAAAAAAGTTAGTCTGGTTTATAGAAATACTGAAGGTTATAAAAAAGTAGTGAATTCAGAGCACATAGTTTTTCTTTTAAAAAAATGGCTCCACAAAATAGGTGTTTTCTGATGCTAAATAGGAGACAATACAGTGCAAATGTGATTCATTGTTTGTGTAAAGTTTTACTGTAATATCGGCTAAAGAGCTCTTAAAAACTTTGCTTTCAGTCTCTCTTTTCCACTTCTGGATGAACTCCTCTCTCTCTCTGCTCTCATGTGACACACAGTTTAACCTCATTTCTGTGAACAGCACTTTATTACAGTCAGACGTCTCGGTTCCATGAAACGATTCGACGCCATCGCGCTCATCCGCTCTCCACCGACTCCACGGCGTCTTTTTCGAAAAAGCAGCAGCTCCAGTTACCGTCCAAATGATCTACATAAAGAGAAGACAAGCAAGTGACAGGGCCTCGGCCAATAAACACGACACAGTCAATTAACCCGACCGTCCCCCCCTATAATCACGAGTCAGCAGTGGAGCCGGCCGCTTTGCTGACGATCGTCCCCCGTTTTGGCAGCCGAGGCCTTTGGCGGGAAAACATGGAACATCTGGCGGGAGCAGACAGGAGCTGGCGCTACATGATGGGAGAACAAGTGCCTGAAAGCTTCATTATGTCCCAGCTGTTGGGCTCGCCGTTGCCCTCGGCGCAAAAAATACAACCTGGGCAGGACGACGTTCCCGGCGTAAAAAAACGCCGCAGGTCGTTTGAAGCGAGACGTCTTTTTTTTCCCGCGAGCGTTTGAGGGAGCGTTAAAAAACGCGACTCTTTGAATGTTTGACTTTCAAACTGTCCTTTCAGGTGTTTAACCGTTGTGGCCCTGAAGAGCCCATTGGAACCTTTTGGGGTTTTACAAATTGAAGGAGAGCAAAAAACATGTTTTAAGTGACACACAAAACCAAGCAGGTCAACGCGATTGAACGTGGCGCCTGACGACCACGTCAGCCTGCTGAAATGAACATTTGGCTCAAATCCTCTTCAGTGTGTAAGCAGTCACGCAGCGTTATGCACAGTGGACTTACGCTGACGACTAGTTCTAGTTCTAAAACGCAGTGAAACAGAACGTTCTACCTGGATTTTAGAAATACTTGAGCTCATGATTCCAGATTCCATCAGACATCGCAGAGGACATCGTCTGTGTCCTCGCGGGCCGCGAGTCCCTCGGCGGTTCCCCTCTAAAGTCAGTTAGTTGATTCAGGAGTATCTGCTATTCACTGCTCAGTACCTGAGTGCACTACTGCGTGTGTATTATGTAGAGAATAGTCAATGGAGTCAAAGGTCGCAAAATGAACCTTCTTTTTTTTTTTCTACCCCATTTTCTAACTTTTCTTATTTCCTCTCCAGCCCGGTGCTGCATACTCGCTCGGCTCGGACAGCTTGTTCAAGTCGAATGCTATTAGTTCTAGGTCAGCGCCTGGGCTTCCTCTACACCCCAACAACACCTTTTCACCAGGCAGGGATTCCAACCACCATAAATCAGAGTGGTGACAGCCCATGGATGTCAGTAAATATGTTTCCCTCACTGCCTCTTTTTTTCCCACCGCTCTTTCTCACTCTCCTGCCGCAGAAACCGAGAAAAATAAAATAAAACTACAACCGAGAAGCAGAAAATTGCTCGGAGGGGGAAACATTTCCGTCTTTTCGCTCGCTCCCCCCCCGCCGACAACAAACATTCTCAAGCGACCGGCCCGCTTCTCAGCATCTTATTTCCATTTGTTTTTCATCAAACAGCAGTGTTGGCCAGGTGTTGATGAATGTTGTTGGAACAAAACATCTGCTCGGTTGAGGCGGCGCGACAGTTTTCCTCCCCTGCACGGGTGGAGGGGATGAGTGCTGGCCAGTGTACTGGCATCTGTGTGCCTGTGTGCAGGCCGAGGGCCGATGGCAGCCAGGTGGAGAAGTGGGCGCCCGTCTCCGAGTACCTGCTGCTGTCCAGAGGCAGCTGTAACGTAGCCACCCGTGGACTGACGATGCTGATGATGATGCTGCAGTCGACGCTTTCTGTTCGCCTGGCAGACGGAGCTGCGAGCGACCGATGGCGACCTCAGAGAGGAAGTCGTGGAGAGGAGAGGCCGAGTGAGAACAGGCGTTGACCTTTGCGGAGATGGATTTGTTTACCGACTAATGCGCCTGCTCCGGAGTGACCTTCACGCGGAGGAGGCCGGGCTGACGGCGCTCATCTGTTCATCTTTCAATAACACACTAACTCGGCAGTTAACAGTGATGAATGCACACACTACTTTTTTCTGTTGAGTCATCTCGTTTTGGCTTAACGAGATCAATAATTGTGCAGGGATTGAATCTGAATGCTCATATTATTTTTCTTAATGTAAATCAAAATCTGTTATGGCTAAAGCACTCGTAGCAATGCTACTGAATATTTCCAGTTCAAACGGATCATTTTCGCATCAAAGTGTTAATATTAAAACTAATAGAAGTACCGTCACCATCAAGTGTCAACTATCGAAAAAAGGACAAATATATGCAATAACTTAATTGACTAAATTAGAGTTGGAACGGTTTCAACCTTCACCTTCCTTCTATGGAGCCATCAGTGACCGCTGCAACCAGCAGGTGGCAGTGTTGAGCCACAGTGACATAATGTACACACAACACGTCACAAACCCACTAATAAGACAAATTAAGTTGGACCAAGAACCATGTTAAAGGCATAATGGTGTTCGGAAGGTTTTAACATGCATGAATTAAAAATATATATATATATATATATATATATATATAGCTTTATTACAACGGAGAAACTTCCTCGCATAGCAATGTGAATCCATTCATTTCAAACCTCCTAATAAGTCAAACTGCTTGATGAATGAAGTTGTTTTAATTCTGCTGCCTCCACGAGCCTCGAGATCATAACTTCAGTAATATCCCAATTTTTTGCCCAAACTTTGGGCCTCAGTTTGCTTCTCACTCTGCCCAATTATCAACACCAGATATTAATGCAATTGATAGAAAAATAAACCAACAGAAATTTAAAGCATCACATCAACTTTTTTTTTTATATGCAGAGAAAAATAACGTGTATACTTTTTATACAAGACATCTAAAAAGACCCATTCAGAGCACAAATACATAAATCACAACGAATGACGTCTACAGTGAACAGTTTAAACAAAGAGGATATAAGCACAAGCACGGTAACTTGTGTATAAAAATGGCAAATTTAATAGCGAAATATTCCCTACCGGGTAATTACATCGACCCGCGGGTTCAAGACTGCTGCGTTCAAGGACACCAGAGGTCATGTCTCAGACTGGTAGATGCTACGGTCTCTGAAACAATCCCACATTTCAGTTTAAGAAGGTTGAAAAAGCCACAATTACACAATAACAGATTCACAATCATACAACGGTAAAATCTTATGGCTTTGCGCTTCTCTCGAGTCCCTAAAATGTTAAAGATTTAGCACCACTCGGCTGTTAACATCAAAAGCCGGATTCATGTGAAAGGATTCAGAAAAATCCGCCGCCGTGTCTCTTTGTCGGTGTGTTAAGGGAGCCAGAGAGGAAATCGATCCACTTCCACCTTAGTGGGTGGCTGAGAGGAAACAGGATCAAAGCTGAGAAGAAGCTTCTTTCCACGTCGTCCAAAAACACGTCACCGCCTCGCTCTCCCACAAAAACGATAGTTGGTAGCCAAATAGACTTTGGAGCCTCGAGAGCCGCGCGTCCGTTCGTTCCGCTGGTTCCTGTACGTAACTCAGCGGGTTTTCGCGAGTCTGGAGTGCGCCGGAAAGTCAATACCACCGATGGCTGAGAACAAGACCAATGTTATGGACTGCTGAGAGAGAAAATTAAAAAAGCAAAAAGGCGTCTTCCTGCTCTCTTTACACAGTATCACTCACACACAAACATATTCCAACTACGTTTGCTGTGCTCAGTTCAGTATGTGAGATGTTTTCAAGTCGTAATTCTACACAATACAATGCTGCAAAAGTATTTTGCAAATTGGCAAAGCTTCCTGAAAATCAAATCAGGATATATTTCATATAACCTAAGAACTGTTGCAGCTGTGAATTACAACTGCCATTGAATGTACAGACACTGCATTCCTAGGATAAAAAACACTTTTTAAAAGTGCATCATCCTCCCGATGACGTTTGATGGATGTCTTTAAGTACTCTGTGTGGGTTTTATGAGTTGTAACTCCAGTATGCTTCATTTTAATTTTGACTGATTTCTTTGCTTTGTCATTTGTTGCTGTCTCAACATCTATTTGTGCCATTTGCCTCATCAGGGGAACGTCGGGCTGCACGTGACAGAATGAAAACCAAATGCTCGTACTGGACGTACAGTATGTTCCTTCACACAGTGCCAACATTCTCATTATAATATTCATTTCCGATACGTTTCACTGGGTCACATCTGTTAATATCTTCATAACCAAACAAATGCCCAAACACAGAAAACAAAGTCAAGTGAAATGCATTTAAAAGTATGTTACACATGCTTTAAAAGTTGAATATCTCAAAATATCTGTACAAAAAAAGAAAATCGTAAAAAAGAAAAAAAATTCTTAATTGAAAAAAAAAAAAAAAAAAAATGCTCCCATTGCTCTTATAATAATTCTGGACAAAATGTTGAGATTATACTTACATGGTGCCGCTTTAATGCACTTGTCCCCTTTCGCCACAAACAACATGTATATAAAAAGTGCCACTGACAGCTGGTGGGGAGAAAGGACAAAGTTACAGATTGTAGATGGGCTGAATGAGAAGGGGGGGGGGGGGTACCAGGGGCTCGTCGTCTTTCTGCACTTGTCTAGCTGTGCACCTGCATGCAGTCTGTGTGTGTTCTGAAGTGGGTGGGTGAAGGGTCTCCCCCCTCCTCACCCCCCCCACGGCCCCTAAGAGACGCTGGAGCAGCGGATGCTGGGGGAGCCCATTTGTGTGAGCACCTTGTCGAGCCACTGCAGGGGGCCGTTGAGGTGCAGCTCGATCCAGCAGGGGGTGCTGGTCACCGTCTGTCGCCTGGGAGAGCGAAGAAACAGATGTTGAGCTCAGAGCGGAAGTCGGCAAAACCCCAAACTACTCCACTTTCACTTTAGGCCCCGCGTGAAGTAAGGAGCTAGTCACCGAGAGCCCAGAGATGAATGGACAGGTTTGTGGTTACACCTCTAACACAGTTTAGGACAGCGGAGGAAGGAATTAAGGTGGTTCTAATGTCAAATTAACCTTAGGTGTGAAGTTAGGTCGGTCTCTCTTCAGGTGGTGTCTTTCAAAACAGAAAATAGACAAAGAGGTCTTAAATGCTTTGTCTTTATAGTGAACTTGAATCATGTTTTCTTCTGTAACTGAAAACACTGAAGCGTAGTTTAATAATCATGTACTACCTTTGCTCTATATACCTCTGATAAGGATCGAACGGATTCTCCACTTGCATGTTTTTCTTCAGCGGAAGCAATACAAACCGTACTTTTCCAGACATTCAACCTCTTGAGCTCCATATAATTTGGCACCTCTCTGATTCTCTTCATACCAAACCACTTAGTGCCGAGGACAGGAGAGGCCAAAGTGTTCAAAGTAACTCAACCTACGAGTGGAAGTGGAGTCAAGTGACAGCTCTCAGGCCGAAAGTGCCTGCTGCGAGGACGCAGACGACGCTGTATTACAAAATGTAGTTAGGGAAAAAAATAATAATAAATAAAATAAAAAAGTAGTGGGATTTGATTTGCCAAAGTGTGCGTCGACCCCCTCCGGCTCTGTGCTCTGCCATCGACTCCTAAACCTAAACCTCGTCTTTTAAAAAGGCGGCTAGAATGAGGCGAGGAAATAAAACAACTAACACCAATAATCGCTTCGGTCGACAGCAGCAGGCCAAACGTCCCCTGTGCGTTGTTATACGTCTAATTCATGCAGGGGCGCGCCAGAGGAACACTTTCCAGCTGTGGGAGCTGCCTGCCGTTCCCACGGTTTGTTTCACGACACACGCGTGTTTGTTTTAAAAAACTACTCTGCCGTGCAAACCGGAGCTCGGCGACGTCACACCGCCGGATCCTCCGCGGAGCGAGCAGACGCCTGCGGGGTCGTGATTCACAGCTGTAGTCTGTGTTTACATAAGGGCTTGTTAAAGGGCCCCAGAGGCGTTCGGTGACGGGAGCTCACCTGTACTCGGCCCCCCAGCCCTTGACGAAGCTCATTCGGATGGTGCACATCCGGGTGAGCTGGTACACGGCCTCGAACCCCCTGGTTGACGGACTGGGCCAGCAGGGCGGCAAACTCCTGGTTATTGAAGATCTTCAGGTTGCATCCTGGGGGGGGGGGGCAAGGGGGACGAGCGACAACACAACCAAACGTCAGGCCCACTGTGACTTCAGTCCGCTTCCACATGTAGACTGTGGGGAGGTTTAGTTTTGAACACATGGAATAAAGATAATTCTGTGGGAATGAATTGATTTTCTTAACTTTTGTTATATACACACACACAATGTCAGACAACGCTGACATGAGTGTTGATAAGATACATCTAAATGTAGATGGCCCATCATAATATTTAGCCTTAGACAAGAAACAAGTCTCCATAGAGCTGATTCATACCGCTTCATACATATGTGATCCATCCAGCGTAGACGGCACTCATCATATCAGGTGAACAAATATCAATTCACTGTCTCCATGTATGTGAACTAGATTGAGCCGTAACGTTAATCTGACTTCAGACATGAAATCGCCATGTGGGAGTGTCATGACATTTAAGAAAAAGAGGTCGAGTGAGGAACATTTGTGCACTATTGTGTGAACGAACCATTGCAGAGCAGAAAAGCCTTGATTTGAAACAGATATTACTAGCTGGCGCCGTAATGACACAGTGCAGTAAGTCTGTACGGAATCATCCGTTTTCTCTGTGTGCTTTTCTTTTCATGAACACTATAGGAAAAAGGTGTCTCACACACACACACACACACACACACACCTGGGGGGATCTTGCAGACGGTGGCCGGGTGCCAGCCGTAGCGTTGGTTACAGTTGGGGCTCTGGACAAAGATGGCGCTGTCGCTGAGACACTCGGCGAACACTTCTCCGCCGATGTAATACAGCCGCACACCGCGGCCTTGAGGAAAACGGAAACAAACCTCAGCCACGGTACAGAAAAAGTGGTATAATGTCATTTTTTTGGGGGGGCGCGGGGAGGGGGGGGTCCTACCGATGTGTCTGCGCGTCAGCTCCACGGCGGCGTTGCGGTTGACGTTGGACAACAGGCCCAGGCAGAACCGCTCCGAGTTGGACGGGTCCGTGAAGCCGTCGACCGTCAGCGAGGGCTGCGAGGCGTGGAAGGTCTCTCCTACCCGCTGGTTCAGCTCGTAGTAGGAAATGGAGCACCAGAAGGCCGGCTCGCAGTACGTCACCGGCTGGAGGTCTGACCCACAGAGGCAGAGAGAGAGATGTTTGCTCTCATCAAAGCCGACAGGGAGGAGAGCGGAGCGAGCGCGGCACCGCGGGTCGCGGCGCGCTCGCTAATAGCCGGAAATGGGAAATTCAACGCTCGAAACGACACCCGGGGAAACAAACGGGTAACAGGAGACGGGAGTCAAGGTTAACAGGATGAGGAAGGATGCCATCAGAGGAATAATGGTCGAAAAAAAAAAAACAGATTAGACGGGAGAGGGGAAAAAAAAGCACAATATTGGAGGGTGGGGGGGCTGTGGGGAACGTAGGCGGAGCACACAACACAAAAGCAACACAAACATTAGGCTGTGCTTGCGTCACCAAATGTCAAAACGTTTCCCAGAAGCTTTTAGCTTTCAGACAAAACCGACAGCGCTGGAGCCAAAGTGATGAAATGAAATCTCCAACTTCTACGGGTGAGTTGTGCCTTTTTTTCCACCTCGACGTGGCCGCTCTCTAACAAACTCTACATTTTGAGGGCAGGAGGAAGGCCGTGTCGAATGAAGCTGCCGTGATTTTGTGATTTCATCAGAAGCTTTCCAGCCGAGCCCCCCCCCCCCCCTCGCCCCCGGCAGGCGTTTTTCCATCCCGGTGGAAAAAACGTAGAATATACATTGAAGTGAGTCAGGGCTGAACGCTGTCCCGGCTTGTCAGCGCGGGGGGAGATAAATAAAGGCTTCTTTCATCACCTGGTTCCTTCTTACACAATTGGAGCTGAAACAAACAGAGAATTCCTGCTGGAAAGATTTGCCTGTGAGCCAGAGACACACACACACACACACACACACACACCTAAACACAACGTACCCAAGTTGCTGTGTGTGGGTGAAACGGAGTTAGGCGACAGGTTTGGGGAGCTCGTGTCCATGCTGTGGGTCATCTGGTGATCGCTGGTCTCTCCATCCTCGCTGAGGTAGCCGGGGGGGGGCGTTTCTGCCGGCGGAGTAAACACACAGCGTCGGTCTGAGGCACTCGCATACATTTTACGGTACATTGATCAAGCGTTTTCTGACAGCTGTCTGAACAACCGCCGGTGCCATCGAAATCTAATCTTCCACGAGCGAAGGAGCGACGCAAGCGACGCATCGGCTGACCCGCGCTCGCGCACACCGGGTCACCGCGCGGGGGGGGTTCGGCCTGGGCGTGAAGCGAGCACCTGCGTGGGAGTCACGTTAGGGAGCGCGCTGGTACATACCTGGTATGTAGTTGCTCTGGGGCTCGATGCCAGCAGGGAAGTTGGTGTTTTCTGGGATTGAATGGCTGTAGTCGTCCAGAGGAGGGAACTCACTGGGGATTTCCGTGTGTCTGGGCACCAGCACTGGTGGGAGTACTGCGGTAACGGACATGAAGGCAAAGTGTCAAACATCCTCCGCATCACCCTGTGGATGCTGCGTGGTGGGACCGTGATGCAACGCGACCCTTTCCCCCCGTACCTGGCGTCTCCACCCGCTGGTAGTGGTACGGGTTGACGCACACCTCATCCTTCTTGGTGTGGAAGGCGTACTCGCACAGCTCCACCGCCCGCAGCTCGTGGTGGGACTGCAGGTCGGGCCAGCGCCACAGGCGGCAGTAGATGACGTGGGGCAAACCTTTTCTGTGGGACACTTGCAGACGGCCGTCCAGGGACCTGCAGGGAGGAAGAGGAGGGTGTTATATTGTTGGTATCATTTTAAAAGCAGTTTTGAGCGGTTAGCGATGTGCTAATAGGCCCAGGCGTCTGAGGTGTGTCTCTCTGTTTGATTGGTGCTCACAAATTGTGGATTCAGTATAAACTAGCATTGATCAAAATTTGAAATGAGTACCTGACAAAAGGTCCATGACCAAAAAACCAACTCACCTGCATGAGAATATACCTTATCTTTTAGATACTAGTATAATAAATATATTTCTGCATATGTTGCCTGGGCTTTGACACCTTCTCCTGACGAGAGTAATAAAATTATTTATTTTTTTAAACTAAAATGACCGGCAATGACACGCCAGGGTGCAGAAACATGGCTTCCATTGTGTCGCCCTCTGCGCTCATAATGCTGTCGGCAGCGTGATGACTGGTTGCCGGACTGTAATGAGCGGTAGTTTGACTCTGCAGATTGTCATAACGGTGGGAGGGGGGGGGGGGGGGGGGGGGGGGCTAATCTCTAATCTCTGAGCACAATGACCCAAAAAACACTCTGATCATTTTATGCAAGAGACACCCATCGCACACGCCCCCCCCCCGTCTCCGGCCCGGCCGCTCACTCTCACACACAAGTACAGCGTACGGGTTAAAGGCATAAGCTAAAGCTCTTAAGAGGAACAAATGTCAGTCCCCAAATAAAAAGAAGGCGGTGTACTGTTAAACTAATGAAAGCTCAGCAGTGCCACATCTGGGTCAGACATCGTGCCCCCGGCCGGCTGAGAATAGCGCTTCAATTTTTGATGGCAAAGGCTTTCGTTCATCGTCTGTACTTTAAAAAATAGGCCAGACAGTGTGAGTGTGTGTGTGTGTGCGCGCAGAGAGGGGCATTTGAATATTAGAACAGTCCCGGGATGAAAGCTGAAGAACATTTAGTCTCGTTAGAAATGTCCGTTGAAGCTGCAGTAATTCTTCCGAGAGAATAACAGCAGCATCACGCAGGAAGTGATGCAACACAACGACAATGAAACACAACGTGAATAGAACCATTAGGCCGCGTCGAGCGCTGAGAGGCGCGTCACGCAATCCAGTTAAAACACCCTGCAGGGGAAGTGGCTGTGTGAAGCGAACAGCGATCCAGTGGTGTTCTACTCGTGGTCGATGTTCCTCTTTTCGCGTTTCATGTTTTCCCGTGTTTGACATGCGCCTGAGTCGTCACGGTTCAGTGGTGCGGTTTCCTCTCACCACATCGGTTGTTTCGTGGAAGTTTGTGACTCGTGTGAAATTGACCAGAAGCCAAAACGACACGAGGGAAACGCCGGAAATCCTCAACGGGAAGTGGAGCGGCGATCACGAGCCGACGCTCCGAAACAAACCGAAAGAAACGAGTTTTAACATAAAAGAGCACAAACTGTCACAAGCAACGTTGGAATGAGACGTCGTCCCCCCCCAAAAGAGTGCATCGTAATCCTCAAGCAGGTTGTAAACAAAGGTTATTGTTGTTGCACTGTGTGGTTAACGGTCTGATGTGTGTGTGTGTGTGTGTGTGTCCCTGCGGCTGAGTGGCTGTTTGTTGAGGGCTCGACCGCGTGGGCGGAGACGGACGCGCACACACTGCAGAGCATTACGGGGCCATTTGGTGTCCTGCAGTACTTCCAGTCAGTGTTTTTAAGGAAAAGGGCTTACGGGCAAAGGAAGAGCGTGACTCACTAAACCGATTCAATGGCCGAGCGACACACGCACAACACCGCACAACAGACTCACTGGTCCAGACACGACGCACGGCCGCAAACTCGGACGACACGAATGCTTCTATTTAGCGTTTCAGTGGGTCTCAGCGGGGTTTATAGGTGGACAAAAGCAACAGTTAGCAATGCTGATAGATTTAATCCAAGAAGAACAAAAACAAAAAGGTTTAGCTTTTAAATATTGGTTCATTTTGTGTTTATTTTCTTCCTCATAAAACAATTTCCAATATTTGGAATTGTGAATAAGGGCTGCAACTAAAGAATGTTTCCACTGGCGATGAATCTGCTGTTAATTTCCTCAATGAATCATTTGGTTCATGAATTAATGATTCATCACAATTTCAAAGAGCTCAGATCTTCAAAAGACAAACAAAATCCAATTTATGATCACGAAAGACGAGTGAAGGCCCCAAAAACAGTCAAATGTGAGACGCTGGAACCACCAGATGAAAGGATTCAAAAACAACGTCATCGATTATCGAAAATAGACGCCTTTCAACTGCATGTTGATTCGCTGATCAAAAGCCCTGTTTGAATGAAACAACTAGACGCACACACGCACCCCCCTGAGTCTGCATGACTCAGTTCATCCGGGTGGGTCATGACTGCTGCATGTCGAATGAGAAACTGATGGAAAAAAGAAAAAAACCTGTGAAATCACACTCCTGCCTCCCCATCAAGCCTCGGCCTGAGACGAGCTGCCCCAGATCCCTAAAGCGCACTTTAAAATGAGCTCAGAGAGAGGGGGGGGTGTGGGGGGTAGAGTGGAGGGGGGTTGGGGGGCTGTAACACCAAATTCCCTGCTGGGTGGACCTCAATCCTGCTTGTGTTTACCACCCAGGCCAAATATCGGATGGATGTAGTTTTTGCAACATCGACCGTTTGTAAAATAGTGTAAATTTGCCGTCCACTTCTCTGTCCTGCAGCGGAGGCAACGTGGCTCAAACGTTTGAGCGCTCGATTGACTTTCTGCTCGACAACGAGCGTCGATGTGCGTCTGACCACAGGGAAGCTGATCGCGAAAAAAGAAAAAAAAAGGGACCAAATGGTATAGATTTGTTTTGCCACACTGGGAAATTATGTCAACATCAGTGTGTTTTATGACCCGCGACTAAGCCTGAACGTGACCTTTATGCCCAACCAGCTCTGTTTGTGTCAATGGGAGGGAGGGCAAGATAAATTCAAGGGACTCATACATTTAATAATCATCTGTTTAACGTTTGGTTTGGAAAGGAGGGAGTGTAGGCTGTGGAGTGGCAAACACACACATGTAATATGTGTATGTGTGTGTGTGTGTGTGTGTGTGTGTGTGCGTGCGCGTTTGGCTGACTCATAAACCGACTCAGACAGAGCAGATTGAGCTTCACTGAGCTCGTGAGGGAGGGAGGGAGGGTCAAAACAAACACTCGGGGGCAAACCCCGTTACGCTCGGAGACGCAAACATACACACTGTGTGTGTTCAGCCCGGGCACACACACACACACACACACACACACACACGCTCTCTCTCTCAACCCTTTTGAAATTGACTTTTTACAGCTCTTCCGAGCTGTAACCCAGTGGAGGTCTGAGCTCAGTGACTCTGATGTCCTCCACGTCTTTGTGTCCACGTCCATCTCTGTTGTCTTCCAGAGGAGGGGGCGGTGGGGGGGAGGGGGGGGCCCTCAGGCTGCTAACCTCGCCATGCTTGATCCAAATAATACAAAACATTTTGGTAGTTTTTAATGGCTGCAAGTTCATGTCAGGACCTCCAGTCACAGAGGAAGAGGAGGGGGGGGGGGGGGGGGGGGGCACAAAGTGGATGACGGATAAAGAAAGGAGGGTGCTGCTGGACACAATGGGGCTGGCAGACTGTCTCAACAGCTCAGGGCAGCTCAGTGTCTGTGACTGGGCCCTAAACCCCCACCCCTCCCCCCACGCCCCCTTTTCTCTTCCTCCTCCTCCGTCTGTCCCACCGAGGGTGGGGGCGCGAGGCTGAAATGGCCTTTGTGCCATTTCACGACCCGTCCGCAAATGTCCAGGCAATAACGTCACATGATCAGAGGAATATTAAGAAACAAACCGAAGGCCTGACTGGGACAGAGGACGCTTTTGGGGGGGGGGGGGGGGTAGCCGAGTTGCTTCAGGTACGGTGAGATAATTCGAGGGAAGGCCGATTGAGTGTAACGTCCGGTAGTCCTTGTTGTGATGGATAGAAGGTCAAGATCCTCACACACGTTTCATCATCGCAACGCAGGAGCCGTCGAATCGATCAGCAAAGAAAAAACGCTCACACACACAGCTTGGCCTGTGAGAACATTCCAGCAGGAACGACACACACACACACACACACACACACACACTGGAAAAGTCATCAGGCTTTCTTCATAGAGAGGAAGCGGGGGGGGGGGGGGGGGCGGGTTAACCCACAGGTGACATCATTGGGTGCGCTGGGACCAGCGAGGGACGGGAAATAAGACACCAGCAGACAAGACGACAAAATAACGCCGTCTGGACTCAGGAAACCTGGGAGCCGTTATTTTTACTGCCGACGCTCAACGAGCTGAGCAGCCCGTCACTCTCGCTGCTTCAACGTGATGAATGCCTGAAAATATTCCACACGCGAGTCATCAATAAATCTTTTTTTTTTTTTTCCCAAAAAAGTCCGGTTTAAGTATTTTTCCAGAAGTCTCCTCGTCCAGTGAAGCGAACGCTTTATCGTTCTTTAAAACTCCACCGGAGACGACGCCCGACCAAGTGACGCGAAGACCAGCTGATATCAGGGGGTTGATTCCCGATCGATTATTCTCCGAGCGGATTGTCAGAAATCGGAAAATAGGGTGAAGAAAAATAAAAATAGCCATTTATGTTTACGTTTTCCCATAAAAATAGCAAATTTCTTTAAATGTTCTCTTAATTTAGACAGAAATGGAATAAATACATGACATTGGGCTTTAGAAAATACAACTATCGTGATGTGAAAAAAGACATTTTACATATTCACCCCAAATTTTGTTAATTGCATCAATCGGATAGATTTTGAGAGAAAAACCGCCTTGTACCCGTGTGAAATGATGGTGCAGTGAATTCAGTAACAAACACAGTGTCGCTGTGATACCGGCTAAGAAACCGTCACAACCACAAACCTGGCGAGCTCTCGTGTTTGGACGCGGGTCAGCGGGTTTGGGACGGTCCTTCCCGCGCTGATGGCGTTTGAGTTAAATAAAGAAACAATGTGACACCTCGCGTCACTAGACACCCGAGCAGTCTTCATAACAGACGCCG